TTAGCTTCCTCTCTGCCTTTGACTGACTTATTTTCTGCAGAGATTGGGAGCAAGCAACAGCTGAAGGTACTGAGGAGCCTAAAGGATTTTATATTGAAAAAATACAATATAGGCACAGTTTGTTGTTAAAATACTGTGTGTTCCAGAGGGGCTCGATTCAGATGTTCATTTTATGAATCTTTGTGTTGATAAAAAAATCTCAGATGAAACATTGATTTTTTTCTAGAGATAGTTTTTCATAAGGTTTTATTATACCGTTGCCGCACTCACTCTTTACCTCCCATCGACAGGATCTTTGAGGTAAACTCAACTAAACCTACCCTGAACATTGCTGGAAATGTCTCTTACTGGTTTGCTAAAAGATGCACAAGGTATGTTACAAGCAGCGGAAAAACAGGGAAGGGAAAAAAAAGAGGAACAGAGGTGTTGGACCCTGATGAAAACCTGCACAAAAAGCCACAGTGGTAGTGAGGGAGTCCACTACTGTTGTGTCTGCATCGAGCTTCACTGATTCAGCGGCTGATATTGAGCGAATGTTACAGTCAGTAATGACTCATGATATGGTTTGGAGGAAGCTCTGCGATGGAATGTAGGAAAAGAAACATCCAAGCCCTGAGGGCCTGGAAAACGTACTCAACCTTAAACCTCTACAGAGAGGTACAGGGCAGACCCTCCCCCCACCAACGGCCTCTCAAATCCCTCTTCCTCACATCCACCCCAAACCTAGATCTTTAATTTTTTGTCAGTAGCTGAACGTTCATTAATTTGTTTGGTTATATTTACAGTAGATGCTGGTCTGCTGTTAATGGGGGTTCACAACTTTGTTGGTTGTTTAGAACTCCCCTCAGAACTAAAGGGTCTGTTAAAGTTCTCAACTCTAGCGCACCTGATTTAAGTGAATTGGTCTTCATCAGCCTGCAGTGGGCAAAAAGAGCTCTAGAGCTCATTCAGTTGTTTGAATCGGGAGTGCAGGAGCTGGAAACCTCTGGACACATGTGGGGCAGTGTGCCCTGAGGACCAGCGCTGGGGATAACTTTATTACAGGGTCAGGACTCTGTTATTTAGTCAAAACAGTGAAGCATTTCTCCAATCGAAAGCTACTGGTTTCTGTCATCCTGGGTCTGCTCCCCCCGGCATCAGCAGGTCTTTGATCCCATGGTGATGCCTTCAAGCAGAGGAGTAAATTCTGCTGATATTAGTCTTCAGTTGTGACTACCGCACAAAGCGGTGGAAGCTGAGTTAATGCATGGTCTGTGTTTAATCATCAAGTTCAGCAAACTATGTATTTTTGATCTTTACAGGGGTTTTTTTTGGAGGGGAAGGAAGGCAGTTTGAACCTAGCGTTCATTTCAGTTAGCTTTAAGCCTTTTGACAGCTTCTGTAGGAAAAAGAAGAAGTAGAAAAAAATCAACCTCCTAAAGCGTAAACTGTGCTCCGGATAGTTTAACATGGTTTTGGAGGTAAATTAGCAAAGCAGGCTGCAGAACTAAAATTACAGTTCAGCTGTATAATAAACTGTAATAGTGAGGAGCCTTGGAGGAGTTTTCAGATCAGGAGCACCACATTTATTCAGATTCATATGAAAGTACACAAGTACTAAGTTGTGGGCAGTCAGTTGTTTTACTGAAATAAACATTAATTAAAAGCAGTCATGATTCATTAATTAGAAACTGGTTCATGTTTGTCTTTATACACTCACAGATGTCTTTAAAAAAACCTCTTTGTTTGAAATGATCAGGAGTGGAGGACCACATGAAGTTATGAAGTTATGAATCCGGGTCAGATTCTCTATGTACTCTCATCAACATGCAGTACAGTTTGGGGTAGGTAACATAACTTTTTTAAAAAGCCTTCCAGGATGAGGGTCTGCTCTTACTCCAGTGGTGACATTTTTTACTACTGTGTCTGTGTGTCTGCTTTAAGAGGTGTAAGTGAATGAGTCTCAGAGCAGGAGAGAGTTAACAAAAGAAAGTTGTTGCTCTGCTTGAAACTGGAATAATGATCTGAAAATCACAATAAAGCTCTGTAAAATCCTTTGTTTTTGTTATTAATGATTGCAGCTTTAAAGTGTAATGTTTTTTTTTTCTTAGCGTTTGCATCATCAAAGCATCATGCCTTAAAAAATGCAGACACTTTGCACACAAACAGCAAACGCAATGAGCTCGGGCTGCCGCTCACTGAATGTCAGTTGTTTCTAACCTATACCCCTGGGTGTAATAATAACAGTTTCATTGAAAAGTCAGTTAATTAGAAACATACCACAGAGGCTCTCAGACAACCCACTGAGCCCCCTACCCCTGTTATGTAAGCTCCACAGCCCCTCCTCCACACACGCTCATCGGCCACAAGCAGCAGAAGTTGGGAGATTTTCCTGCACCAACTTATTCCTACTACACCTTGAAGTTCTCCACCTACTCCGTCCCAGAGCTGGACACGGGAGCTGGCTCGGTGGCCTGAGCCTGCAAAGCTGCAGGGACCAGCTTTGACATTCTTGCTTTTGTTGCCGGAATAATCATTTCACTTGAGTTTTGCCTTTTGATGTTGAAACGCTCGCAGTAGATTGTTGGGCAATTTGAAATGCACATTTATTTCTTGCCTAGATTGGCATGCTTTCTAATCTACCAAATTGCACACAATCACAGGCTTAATGAGGAAACGCTAATTACATCCATCTCTAAATACTATATCATTGAAAGCCTTTGAACCAGGTTCCTGCTGTTTAAGTCGGAACAGGCGTTAAGGTGAGATTGGCATCCGATACAGACAGAAGGTTTTCTTTATTCCAAACTCTTAAGCGAGAGAGCCACCACCATCAGGGTCCCCCTTTTCTTACGTTTGATGTAATCCTCGTTATTACAGTTTTGTAAACACAGTTCACCATGGGGATGACACACAAACAAAGTCACAAAAGAAACGATTCTAATATTTCTCTTGATGTTTTCTGTCTTTCTGAAATCCGCCATGCAGCAGTTCCCATGAGGCTCTTAGCCCGCAGATTTTGTCAGCAAACTATTCATTTCGGAAGTATGTAGGTCAATCTGCTTTGCTCTTTATCTAGAGCCACACAGATAAGTGGCAATGTGATTAATGTTTAATATCTGTATGAGCACCGATGGCTGTTGTCATGTTCAAAAGGCTTAGTCGTGTAAAAGGCAATAAGTGGGGGGAAGGGAGGCCTGGTGTGTCGGAATTTATCCTCCAAACTAAATCTCTTTGTAAACTTTTGTGTTTAATCACGTCATGCCTTCCAAAAGCTTCTCTGACTTTTCCGTTCCATCATGTCTGAGTGGCACTGAACGAGTTCAAAGAGGCAAAATGTGCATGCGCATTGTTTCAGAGTGTGTTGTGTGGACACAGCTGATCCTTTTGCTCAAAGTTATCCATTTCCTGGTTTTCCACAAGCAGCTGGAAACAGGGTGACCTGTTGGCAGAGTTTCTGGGGATGTGCTTTGCTTTTCAGTATACGCCGACGTCAGCAAAAATGTGTTTCTACAGTTATTAAACGGACCATTTTTTTAAATTAAACATTTGCCATGAAATGTCCTTTTTATCATTCAGAGTTGTTGTTTTATCTGTCTTTGTCAGTCCTGTCAACATGGATTTATTCTCAAATTTGCTGCACTGGCTGTGACCACCGTGTGCTGAAGAGGGGATTTTGAGGGTCAGGCAGCTGATCGTAGCTTTCTTTTAAGAGAGAAGAAAAAAAAATAGGCTTCATGTAAGAAATGTAGTGTTTTTTTCCCCTTTTCTTGCTTACACTGAGGACATGTGTTTGGAAGTCTGCACTTTCCTGCCTTTTCTACTTCTGCTCCCTTTTTTTTCCCTTGTCACTGCCGATATCTTCAGCAGAGCAGATTAGAATAGCTTCACTGTCCTTCTCTGGCACACACACACACACACACACACACACACACACACACACACACACACACACACAGACACACGTGCTGTGATTGTTCCCTGCTTTGAACTCCGTAATTCTCTGTAAATTCCTCCACAGAGTGTGTTGTGTTGCGCACGTGCATCTCTGCCTATGGTGCCCCGAAACATCTCATCACATGCGAGGAGGACAGGCTGGCTGGATGTTGAATAAGTAGGGACCGACGGAGGAAAAAACCCGAAGAAAGGAGGAACAGGGGAAGATAGGACGAGATGAAGCGGGGATTGTGATAGAGTGTGGCTCAGAGCGGTCGGCTGATGACGCGGAGCGCTGCACACACATCTGGAACAGCTTGTGCAGCTGCACCTGAAGAGAAGAGCTCCTCCGCAAAGCTTCCGCCAGTACTTTCTTGTTCCTCCTCATGCTCTTTTTTTCTCCCTGTTTTTTCTGGCGGTTTGTTAATCTTTCTTTCTCTGATTACCACCCGCCGGAGCACTGGGATGCTTTCCCGCTGTGCATCAGCAAAGAAGAGTACATGAACCAGAGCGAAGGAGAAGAGGAGAGCCATGAGACCAGAGGACAATAACATGGGAAGGAATTAATGAGCAGGAGGTAGGAGAGAGAAGTCCACAACCATATAATGAGTGGAGGTTTAGAGGAGTGGGAGCAGGAGAGATTTGCAAAAAATGAGAGGGATGGAAAGAGAGAGAGCGTGAAAGGCAGAGAGGCAAAAGGGGGATTAAGAAGCCGGAATGCCCTGGCACTGGAGACCTGAGTTTGTGTTTGCGTTTGGCACAGCACATCCTGTCACTCCACAGGTTTCTCCACACATCCATCTATTTACCAACACGCACATTTCACACACTCTCACTGTTTGCTTTGGAGGATGATCCCAAGAGGCCACGCCAGGAGAAGAGAACACCTTTCAAGGATGTCTTAACCCCCAGGCTGGTGCCTCCCACCCCGCTTCCCAAAAGTGCCCTCCCTCTGGCCCTCTCAGTCTACCTGCACTAGTCACAACACGCAGCAGCTTCACCAAGAGCAGAGAGAAAACCCCGAGAGCTCATGGGACGCAACAGCAGTCATCCCGGCTGAGAAAGCTTGAGGACCTTTCCCGGATCTGCTCTCCTGCAGGATGTCTAAAGCCTCCAGGCTGGCTCGCCCCCCGCCAACAGCGGCTGGATCTAAGCTGCCGTCCGCAAGGAAGGAATGCCCTGGCACGGCCGGTGTGGCTGCCCGAGCCAGGGTGCTGAGCGTGGGGGAGAAGCTGATGAGGGCAGGTAACGATAATGTCATCAGCAGACAGAAGCCGGGACAGCCAGCTGTGCCGCTGGACAAAGTCCAGAGCGCCACCCAGAATGAGACTGGGGCTGCCAGCCAGAGCTCAGGTGAGAAGGACCATAATATGGAGCTGGTCCCCCCCAAGAGCAGAATCAGCCCACCTAAAGCCTCAAGCCATCAGCCAGGCTCTCTGCACAGTAAGTAATGAACAGGCTGTGTCATGATCTGATTGGTAGCTTTGTCTTTCTAGTCTTTAAAAAAAAAACTTTGACCCACTGTTCCCCAGTTGTTTGTTGTCTGTGACATTTACTAAATTAGAAATGGATTTGTTTGGGTTTGTAAATACAGAAAACTACTGTATTGTAGAATACCACTGTGTTCTACTCGCAGCTCTTGCTGTTTTTAACTGTAAGAGAGATGTTTACTTAAATGGTTCTTCAACTAAAAATAAGACCAAGTCATTTCCTCTTTTAGACAGAATTTAATGAATGAACTGGTCAAGCTTATTGGGTCACATAAGCGTTCATTTAAGAAAGGGATTGGGATGATCTTCACAGGAATTGTCATGTTGTTAGAAACACCAGTAAGACAATGAATCATCACCTGTGAGGTCACATGAGTCTACACTGGGTTCAGCTCCCCCCGTGTGCTCTGCCTCATTACCCCTGCAGCTCTAACTTATGGGGAATGTTTGTCCTGGTGGGGCTGGGAGGAATAAGTTAGTATAGGAGCATCACTGTCCCACAGAGTTGGTGTCCACAGGATCTTATCATTCCCTTTTGACCTTCTCACCAGATTCCCAACCCTACAGGGGGCCAGCTTTTACTTCATCACACACAGACTGAAACTTGACCAGGGTTGTGTATGACTAAGGATGAATTTGTGTGTTATATGTCTGTTCTGTCAGCGGCCGTTAGAAATCTGGCTGCCAAATAAGATTGAGCTGCTGAAATGTTTCCTGTCAGTGTCTCTCTAATCATTCTCGACTGTCCAGCTTGTGGTCAAAGACATAGAACTGAAAGGGTTTAAGTGTGGGGGTGATGCAGATCTAGCCTATAGGGGGAGACTCAAGTGAAAGAGTGACAGAAGGAGGTCAGGAATGTGAGCAGGGCATGCTGGGAAATCAACTGGTCTCAAGTAGTGTCTGTGTGTGAATCCCTCCCTGCAGTAAAGACAGGTTAGGGGTTACAAGGGGGGCAGGTTTGTACTGGAAACCAGATGTGCTTGTCTGAGCAGCTTCCAGTCTCCTCTTTACATAAATAAATGGTATTTCTGCAGAGTTGGTTCACTTCTACAGGCTGGGTGTCAGCTTCCCCTCAGCTTGAGTGACCCTCGTAGATATAATTAAACTTCTTCTTTTTGTAGAAATTAAGCCTAAAGATTTAGTTGAACACACAGCAGAGGACAATGGCAGTGACGCTGGAAATTGTTGAAGTTTATAGCTATTTTTTGTCTTCTTGCGCAGTCCTATTGTCTTTTCTTACTCACCACTGTGATTCTTTGTCTTTCTTCTCACTAGCAACCTATTTGCTTTTGTTCCTCTCTGAGTCGTTCCCCCATCCATCCTGTCCCACTGTCATGTTTGACAGCATTTGAATCATATGTTGAAAGAATTGCCTGCACACACAGGCACACAAAAGACCATAAAAAAGAATAAATGAACTGTGCATATCTCAATCTTTTGCCTATGTCTTGCCCTGGATTTTCAAGGGGGAATTTTTCTTTCTAGGGGGCGAGAACTCTGTCTATCTTGGGACAGAAACTTTGAAGTTCTGTATTGAAAAGGCTGTGCGTCAACACTCCAACCTCTCCCGAAACTTGCAATACCACAGCTTTATTCCACCACGCTTTGATGCATAACACTTTTTTTTCACATGACATGCAGTCTTCACTTTAGGCAGTCATTGTTCATTACACAAAGCCATGTGGTGCCTAAGTGTTTGGATTTAAAATAGGCCAGCAAATTTAGACTTGGCTGCAGTGTAATAGGCATGTCATCATTTTCTCTTCCAATTTGTGGCCCAAATACAAACAGAAGTGTTTAATGCGGGGGGCTCTGACCGTGCCAGCTCTCTATCTCTTGGCTAATGCCAGTAACAGTGCATGACGACAGCTAAAGCACAAGCCCACAGGGTCAAACAGAGCTGATGCCCACTGCTGGCAGACAATAAATGCCTGTGACAGGTGACATTTCCACTGTGTGAAAACTTCAGAGCTGACTGCAGCTTGCCAAAGGACCCAATCTCAGTATTAAAGTGGCAGCTTCTACCAAGAGTGAAATCTGTTTGACATTTTCTGTCCAAAGAGGGTATAATATTAGTCTCAACCACCAAGTTACAGATTCAAGTTCAGCTTCCTTTTAATGCTGTAAGGCATAGCACGAGGCTACAGCTCAGTGTTATTTTAGCCACCGGAATTTATATTAATTTCACAAATTCTTTGCTTAAAAATGGCTAAAAAGGGTACGACTGGATGGCTATAAAAACCTCCAACTAAAAGACAAGTTTCTCAAACATGTTTGTTTGACTCTGTGGTATTTATTAAAATCTTTTTATTTATGGCTCCAAATATCATTGAACACAACGCCTGGGAATATTTTCAGCACTACTTTTGGCAACTCGTTTTTCTGTGTTTTAATTGGTGTACATGGCTTAAAAAACATTTAGACATGCTGATTTCTGTGTGACAGTTGTGAGAAGTGACAGTGAAAATATGTTGGATTTTCAATGTTAAAATACAAAGTAACCTTACATTAAAAGAATAGTAAACATGTCACTCTGTGATATGCATTGTATTCCACCCTAAAACTACTCAGTATTCCTAAAAGCCAGCATGATTCTCTAATCACTGTAGCTAAATATCTACATGTTGCTCAAACCTTTTATTTCCAGCTTTTCAGCTTAATAGTGGCGCCTTAGTGATTAATGCAGGACTCAGGCTGTGTTGTAAAAACTGTGTTGCAGGAATCCTGCATAGCAATCAGGAATATTGTAGGTCGTACCTGAGGCTACCATCCAATGTGTACTTTGGATTTTTGTGTTAATTATACCCCATATTTGGATTCATGTGGAATATTGCCAAAAATAGCAGAAGGTATGATAGAACCAAGAGAAAAGTACAGTGTGAAACATCAGCATACTCGGCCATATTCCCCGGAATCTGTGGACTAACATGTGCTGTAAATCCAAAATTTTAACCCATGATTTCAAATAGGAGACAAATATATCCACTTTTTGCTAACATAACGCTTGTCTGGGGGATGTCTATGAAAAACCAGTGGTGCTGACATGTGTGAAAACATCTTGAGAAGGCAAGTCCAGCTAATTGATAAAAGCATCTGGAAAAATGAACGTCTGGAAAGACTTTGGCTGACAAGAACTGAAATTTTCTCTAGCTGCACTATCAGTCTTGGCTATCTCCGAACTTCAAGTCTCTCTTCAGTCTAGACCAACATGAAAGTTTTTCATCCTGTGTGTAACCAAATGGGTCTTTTGATCCTGTGACCAGCCAGGCAGGGCTTTGTCCTCCGGCTGCTTCCATTTTGGATGACCTCACCTCCTGGTGATTGAGAAAGTAACTCGATAAAAGAAACCAAGGATGAGGTGGTTTTATAGGCACAATAAGGTTTTGCTGTATCTGGCTGCTTTGTTTTTTTTCTAAGTTGTGTAACCACATCAGAATGTGAGGAGTTGCTATGGCTTGTTTTTTTTTGGGTAGAGGTTAGTGAGACATTTCATTCGTTTCAGTCTATGTGCAAGTCTGTCCAATGATAGCTGTGTTTAAAGCAAGTGGATGGATGTGAATCATTGGTGAATGCTAACATGCTTCGACATGCTTCCTGCTCTGTACACGTTTCCAGTTTTCTTCTTGTATTTCATACTATATTAAATGTGCTTTTGTGTAAGTGTTTCTTTTTTGTTAAGTATGACTCCTGACTTTTTTGTAGAGATAAGTTGGAAGAGTAGTTCAGTTGGGGTGAGTTTAGCTGTGATCACTCACTTCTTTGTCTCTGAAGCTGAGGGTAGGGATTACATTAATTGCAGTTTCTGTTTACTCTTAAAGCCAGCTGTCCTAGGTTTTTTCATCTTTGACAACTACCAGACAGGCTACAAGAACAAATGCCAAATTATCTCCCAGAACAGCAATTGGCACAGGAAACTGGTATGTGTTTCATTTTCATCAGAAATTTGCTCTGTGACTGGATATTAGGGTTACAGAACAGCATCACTCACATTCTTTGGAGCATCTTGAAAGTGTTTTCACCTAATCATTCCCATTCGCCTTCTTTTACTAAACAGACTTTCCTTTTTTATGTCTGGGGGAAATAACTCAGACACAGAACAACACTAAACTGCCCATGTTTGATCTGTGCAAATATTAATACATAAGCATTAGGGATGGGACGGTTTCTGAAAACCGTCTGAACCGTTCGGTTCGACTGTCTCGGTTCGGTTCGCGTGTGTACCGCACGGTTCATGCACTGCTCCTTTTTCTCAGAGGGAAGCGTGTTCACTCCAGAGCAGAAGGGGGCGCTACTGCACCCAAAGTCAACCACCAGTAGTAAACAAGAAGAAGAAGAAGCAGCGGAGCCGATAAAAATCTGACGCGCCAACAGCAGTTTCTAGGTCTGCTGTATGGACCACTTTGCATTTAGAGGGAAGCACATGTTGGAATTAGCACTGTTTCCTCTCTTGCAATGCCATAATCTCACCTACTTTTAACCTAAGACTGTCACAATAATGGATCAAATGTCAGACTGCTTTTTTCTTTCAGTTTTTACTAGGGATGGGGATCGAAACCCGGTTCTATCAAGGACCCGGTTCCACTTTTTTCAAAACCCAAAAATCAATAACGTTTGGGCTTATCGATACCACTATCGAGTGTGGTCGTTTTTTTTTTATTACAATAGTAATTGTGAAATCTGTGTTGTAATCGGTAGCATACAAGCTAGTTAGCTTGAAAAGTAAATAAAGTTTCAGACGTGCTGCGTGATGATGTGTTCAGATTGGCTCAGTAAAACGACAATTAGGTTATCATGATGCGTTCAAGTGTAACGTAAAGAAAAGGGAAATTGAGTTTTTGGCGAGAAACATGAGTAATACAGTTGTATATTGCTCTAATTATTTTTAGAATATATAATTAAACTACTGATGCCAACATTTATTAAAAATTACATTTAATTTAAAATACAATTATT